GATGAACATGCCAATTAAGAATAAGCCTCAAAATGTATTATTAAACAAAGTGGATTTAGCAGAGTGCAGCATGGATAAAGAGTTGCAATTAGTCACTCAGGAATTTCTAAAATTTTGTCTTGAATCACTATTAGTACAAAAAAAACAAAAAACAAAAGACATTGCTTATATTAATTTCAGAGCTAAAAAAAACAGAAGATAGAATAGACCATTTGGAATTTATCATAGCATCATTAAAGACGCAAATTAAAGAACAACAGCAACTTTAGGAATTTGATTTAAAACTTGCATACATGGATGATTTCTCTAGGATGAATAATTTAAGAATCCACAACATTCATTACACACAGGATAAGTTAGAAGATTTTTGGGAAAAATTCCTTAACCCCTTAAGGACCAAACTTCTGGAATAAAAGGGAATCAAGACATGTCACACATCATGTGTCCTTAAGGGGTTAAATAATTAGAGATTGCAGAGGACACAAAGAAGAGCTTTTTTTTCTATTTTTTTTAAATATGTCACAGATTATTTTAACCCAAACAGTCCAAAACAGTGGATTCAAAGGCTTCCAAAGATGTTATTTCTTGTCACCACTCCTACTTATTTAAATAAGATATTATGAGGACTGGAAGACAAACATCACCAAAAGTTGGTACTTTCATTGAAAACAAGGTTCTACCAGACTTTTCTTTTCAGAATAGGAAAAAAAAATGTTTTATATGGCTATCTCCATTATACCAGGACACAACATCAAGTACAGATGGGGATACCCTACAAAGTTGATTGTAATGTTTGAGAACAAAATTGAATGATTTCATTCTTTAGAAGAAATTATATGAACAAATATATCCTGGTATATATACTACAAAAATGTTCATACACCTTTTTTGATATCCCCTTACCTCACATAAAACAACTTATAAAAATCTAAGAAATAGTTGAAGCAATATGTGGGTGTGTGTAAAAACACCAACATGTGCTTGTTGGTGTTTATCAAATAAGCGTTAAAATTCCAGTATTCAATGAATACTCTAAGAGTGTAATTACAAAATATGATAACTTTTAAATAAATTATGACAAGTGTATAATATTTTGCAGTGATATAAAAGCAATAAAGCAGCAATTAAAGTGTTTAAACTTAATATAGGTGAGTGCATTAACAGATACCCAAGTGGGGAAGAAAAAAAAAAAAGTTTCAAAAGTTCACTGTTCTGAAGACTAAAAAGCCATAGTGCAAAATGTGTCTTAGAGATTAGGAGCACCTTGCTCTGTAAAACAGATTGATTAAAAAATTATTTTAAATAGTGTTTTTTGTTGCCTTTAAGGGGAATGGAAAATACGATGACTGGGGGGTTTCCTTTTTTTCCACCCCCCCTGAAGTGGGGGTTATATTTCAGTGATATATCACTTGAGAATTTGTAAACACTGTATAAATAGGTTTT